GTCTGCAAAAAGACATATGGGAAAGAAGAAGGAACTTGAAGTCAGAAACCCTTGGTTGGAGTCCTATCCCTGCCACTTACTAGTTATGTGATTTTGGAAGAGCCATTTTACATATCTGGGATTCTGTTTCTTTATCTAAAAAGGAGGGAATTGGATCAAATGATTTCTAAGGTCCTTTCCTGATATAATAACTCTGGTTGTATAGCACATGTAGACAACAAGGCTCACTCTCCCAATCTAGATACAAACTGGGAACCAGAGCTCTATCTTCCTCTCGAGGCTCTGAGGCTAACCCTGAAGAATCAGAGATTGCCCTTGAGCCACCATCCGGTGTGTTCCTCCCAATATAATTTGGCCAGTTAATAGCTCCTTTAATATCATCTAACTAATGATTGCTGGCCCGATATTATTTTGACCAGTGTTCTTTTCAAAATCATTGATAATCGGTTACCATCAATTAGTTTTTTCCAAAGGAATATTTAGTGAGGAAGCACAATAAGGACAGAAGTACAAAAGTACAAAACTACCTAACTCTTCCCCCCAAACCAGGGAACGCTTATCTCTTCTATGCCTCAGTCCCTAGAAATAGTGGATTCAAAGAGGAGACGACCAAACATCGCACCTACAAAGTTCACCTCAAGGTGTGCGATGGACAAGCCAGCTCCTTGCATGAAGGAGGACATGGTTTCAGGTGCTTCTGGGCTGCGTCAAGCAGATCATTGTTTAGGGCTGCCTCATCACCCAGATCTCCTGCTGTAACTGGCAGATTCTGCCAGGGACTCCTGTTGAACTTCTAGAGGCTATTCCACTTTTTCAAAGCTCACTTGGCTGTAGTCTGGTCAGTTCCATTTCTATTTCTCATTCACCTACTATCCAGAAAGGATGAACATAACAGAGACAGAAGAAACAGGTAGCCATGGGTTCGTGGGTACCTTGGGTAAGGAGATAAGGGAGCTGGCAGCAGCTCCTCCTACCTCTCTTCCCAACTAGAAGCTTACCGTGGTTCTTGCTTTGCTCACCTCAAGGAAAGAGAGATTTCCATGGTCCATACCTGCCTGTCCTTCCTTGTTGTTCTTCTCTTCTCTCTCCCTCTTGGATGAATTGTATTACTTTATGTTATTGAGTCATTAACAAAGGGAACCAAATAGGAGCCAGATGGTAACGAGTTGAGATAAAGTAGTTGGCTGGCCTGTCCAAGTTGGAAAATATGTCAAGTCATCCTATAAGACTAGCAACCCCACACTTCTGTTAAATTCACATGTAGAGCAAAAGTTAAATAAATGCAAACACACCTAAGTACAATCAAGCATTTTACTCACTAATCCTTAACTGTTAGGAATCTTAATTCTTCTCTTTGCTTTTTCTTTCTCAGCTTTAGAGAAACTTTAAATTCCTCCCACGTAAATTACTTCAGTGTTAAATTACCACTTCCTCCAGGCCTGTCATGACTCTTATTTCACTTGGAGTCAAATCTCCCTATAACAGGATCTAACCACCTTGTTGAAAGTCTTTGGGTTGGCACAAGCTTTCTTGTTCAAGCCGCTTATTCAGCACTCTTAAAGTATGCCACCCCTCCCCCATGTCTTGTTTTAAGGAAGAAACTGCCTTCTCTGATCCATGAGGCTTGTCAGAAATGAGAAGAAAGATTATAACAAAGTACGTACAGTAGCATGAATCTCTGTGATCATCTTATTTGAAGGGAGTAATGACCTTCTCTACCCACCAGACTAAAATGCAAGCTTTCCCTTCTTCCCCATGTCCCCTTCTCATTCATTTAAAATTTACTCACGATGCTTCATTTGGCCTATGAAACATAGACTAATGCATATTTTTCCTTCCTCACCACCATCTTGAGTAGGCCTAGGACTGAAGCCCTTTCAGCCTCCAGAACCACCGTCCTCCATTCCTTTGGCTAATGCAAAGTTAACTGCTTGGGACTCCAGAACAGTTTATATTCTTAGCCTGAAAACAGAGCTTGTCCTTCTAATATTAAAAACAAATGAAGACTCTAGGGGGATAGGATAGCAGGCTTCAAGTACTTACAAACATATCTACCCCTCTATGACTTTTACCCATTGCTCCCATATTTGCCCTCAGGGACCAAAGTTTAATCTTTTCCCACAAGCCAGCTTTCACCCAAAGTGAAATAGGTTGTTGCCTCCTTAATTGAATTATTCTCCTTCACTGCTCAGGTTGGGGTCTCAGACCATATTGGGCAGACTGTAGACCCCACCTTTGTTTCTCTTAATAAATATTGTTTCTTTGCCCAAAAAGGCTTCCCAGGCTCTTTTTTATAGATATCAAACTCAAATGGAAATAGAGGCCACTAAACTGTATCTAAGTATCCCCAGAGGCCATATTTGACTTGGAAAACCACATGTTCATATTATCTGTGTTTTTTTGTGTTTTTATTTATTTTGTTAAATATTTACCAACGATGTTTTAATCTGGTTTGGCCTTGCTTGACAGTGTTGCTGGCACGATGAAGTGTTTTGAGACTTGTCTTCTAAGCAACTCTCAAAGACTGGAAGTTGAAGAAAAGATACTGACCTGGATTGGTAGAGGAAATTTTTTCACCTGGGAGATCTTTGTACTAGTAAAATCACAAAACAATGATATGGGTAATTTTAGAGACCTCTGACCAAACCTAACGATTTTGGAAAATAGTGGATGAGGAAGGTTGAAGGAATTGGAATTCATAAAAATCTGAAAATCTATGTAGTCTAAGGGAGAAGAATGGGGGCCAGATTCTCTGGAGGAAGTGGCATTGGAGATGAGCTTGAAAGAATGGATTGGAATTTGTCAGACAGAGAACACAGTCTAGGCACAGGGAACAACAGGCAGGAGAGCACAGGGAAGGGGGCAGATGAAGAGGGATCTGGAGAGCAGTCAAAAAGTCCAGTTTGGCTGGACTTTAAAGTTTAAAATGAGCAAAAGGGAATAAACACGAGATAAAGCTGAATAAAGTCAGTGACAGATTATGGATGGACTCAAATACCCAACTAAGAAGACAGAACAAAAAGGAGTAGCCTTCACCATGAAAGATTAAAGTTAGATCAATCAGAAGGGTCTTTCCAACAGTGAAAGGATTGTTAAGCACTGCATTAGTTACCGCCCCCCAAGAAATTGTGGACTCTCTTTCTGAAGGTCATTGAATAATGGACAGATTCTCATCTTCTCTGAAGTACTTTAGATGTAAATGTGACTAGGAGTTGCGTGACACCTCCCCTCCAAAAAAATCATTCTCTTACTCTATTATCATCAATCTTCCCTCCATCCCCACCTAAACCACTCTACCCACCGGAATACTCCATAATACATATCCTGACACACCTTAGTCTTCAGACTTAGGAAGATAAATTGGCTGATAAAGATGCCTCCAAATACCAGGAGATACTGGAACTAGGGGTAGAAATGGATCTAGGAGGCATTAAATCTACCTTACATGTCTTTCTCTTCTTCTATGGCCGTAAAAACTATGTTGTTTTCAGACATCTACAAAAACATTTCTTGACACTAGAACAGATAGAATGCCATCTAGTGGTGGCTCAGAATGGCAGCTGTCCTGAAAATCGCTGAATAAACCTGAAAAGCTGACCTACTTCCCTCTTCTCACGACCAGAAGGTATGCAGAGAGGTCATCTGATTTAAATCTCTGCCTGCTGGCAACCTGCCATCCAAATTACCTCAAAGAATTGAAGGCCTCTCTTTTTTTCTTGAAGATCTCCGAGATGAAGATTCTATAGCTTATGTCCATAACCCAGTCAATTTCATTCAATTCAACAAATATTTATTGTCTGAGTTATTTTCATGTGTATATGATTGGTCTTTGCAGCTAGATAGTGAACTTTGTGAAGTCATAGACCAAGATTGCTTTTTATCTTTTCTTCTCCCCCTTCTCATCTCCCTGCACCCAATTATTCTGCAACCCCAGGGCATAGTAATAAATGTTAAAGTCAGTCAGTCTGGCTAACTTGTGCTTCTGGTTACTTTATTAGTACCAGTAAAGACAGCCAGCCCTCTACCAGTCTCCCATGCCACCTAGTGGTGACATCGCCGCAAGCCCACCAGAAATAAATCAGCCTGCAGAGATAAGAGTCCCCTTCCAATTCCAAGAGTACGGTGGGGAAAAAACAACGACATTGAAACCAGCAGCTCTAATAGAAGGGATTCAGAACCTTGTTCTTTACCTAGGATCATAAGTTTCAGAGCTAAGAAAGATGGTGGTGCTGTCTTCCAACTTCTTCATATTACATGAGGAAACCAAGTAGACCCAGAAAAATTCGGTGATTTGCCCAAGATCACACAGTAAATAGCTGAGCTGAGATGTGAACCAAGGTGTCTTAATGACAAATCTTAGTGATCTTTTCCATGTGCCATATGAATAGTGAAGGACTAAAGGAAGATGCCTCGCTCGTGGATAACGTGTACCATAATAATAGCTGAAGTTTACACAGTAAAAAATTTCAAAGCCCTTTATATACATTATTTCATTTGGTCTTCACGACAATGCTGTGAAGGAGGTGCTGTTATCATCCCCATTTTACAGATAAAGCTTAGAAAGGTTAGGGGGCTTTGCCAGGGTCACACAACTAATAAATATCCGAGTCAGGCCAACTATAGGGTCCAAACACAGGCGTTCTTGACTCTTAACTTCAGCACTCTAGTCACAGTACCACATTGCCATTCATGAGTAGCAGCACATTATGGTCAAAATTGTTGTGGACTTGAAGGCAAGAGACCTGGGTTTAAATCCTATATCGAATTAGCTGTGTGACCACAGATGACTCATCTCACCTTTCTGACAGTTTCCTCTCTTGTCAAATGAGGATGATCATACCATAGCTACCTGTCTGTCAGTACTGTAATATGGAACGTACTTTGTAAGCCTTAAAGCATCATAGGTGAGAGTAGGTATTATGTTGCCCCCAAGGCATTATTCCGTATGAAAAGACCAGTCTGTGGCGAGAGCTTCACCTTGAGCTTTGGTCTGGTTGTAGGCACTGCTTCTGTCGCTGTCGCCGGCATTTTTGCTGCCTTGCGGATTACCAAAACAAGCTCTCCAACCACGTGTTTGTTTTCCAAGGAGCAGGAGAGGTAGGTGCCATAGGCAACCTGGGACCTTCATTCTTGTTTTTAGTCATTGGGAGGTCAAGTAGTACCTTGCAGAGAGGACCGCTTCCTTGGAGATATGATGAACACTAAGGCTTGGATTTCTCTGTGCAAATACTGAACAAGAGACTGCTAGGGAGGAAGTGGGGAAACATTGATGTTCAGCCTTTGTAAAGTGTCAAATGCAAAATCTCATAATGAACAGACCCTCCCTACCATCCCAAATCTCTGCATAATGTCGCCATTCTGGACTTTTAGGCAGCTATGGGAATTGCCCACCTCATTGTCATGGCCCTGGAAAAAGAAGGCATCCCAAAGGCAGAGGCCACCAAGAAGATCTGGATGGTGGATTCCAAGGGGCTCATTGTGAAGGTAATGTTTATGGATTCTCTGCAAGCTACACATGGCTCCCAGGCATCTAAGCAGTGCTTGGGTCAGTATTGTAGGTGATTTTGTTTGCATGGAGTTTGGGAGTTAGACTGGGCTGGATAGGGTCCAGCATCCCAGCAAGAGACTTTGCTGCTCGAGTGCAAGAGGCTGGGCTCCTGCAAGTGGAAGAGAAGGAGTATTTGGAAAGAGCCACTCTAAGCCTCCATTTCCTCACCTATAAAATGCTGCCCACCTCACAGGTCATTGTGAAAAAGAATACTCTTTCTGGAAATAGAAGACCTGGGTTCAAATCCAATCTCTGACCCTCTCCACCTAATATTTGCTCCCTCTATGACCTTAACAAGTCACTTAAATCTCTCTAGACCTCAGTTACCTCATCTGCTGAGTGGTGTCTGAGGTCCCTTCCAGCTCTACATCTATGGTTCTATTGTAATGCCCAGTGAATCGAAAGAAGCCAAAGTGCCCTTTCTGCACCTGGCCGAGCAGTTGGGCTAGAGGTAGGCTTTCCTAGCAGGTGGGATTGCTGAGGTTCTGCTGAAGGAGTTATCCCGTGAGAAGACTTTGTAACACCTCCGGTTTTGTCATTTAAGGAAACATCACTTGTTAAAGTCTCCGAAGCATAATCAGGCCTCAGGTAAAAACAAAACAATAACAACAAACCTTCCATAGCCCAGTGCATAGACTTCTTCTCCAACTCTTCATACTAACATCATTCCCTCTAGCTCTCTCATTAAAGTAGCTAACCAAGCAATAATTTTTCACCTTCAAACCTCCAGGTGTGGACACTCCAGAAGAAACACTCCCAGAGGACTTCATTGGTCAGTGCTAAGGAGGCCAAGCACAGACCTCTTGTTTGCTCTCTGTTTCCTGGGTGCTGACTTTAAAGTCTCAGGCCATGGAATTAAGCAGTTTGAGAAACCCAATGTATCAATCAAACAACAAACATTTATTAAGCACTTATTCTGTGTCAGGCACCATGCTGGGAGCTGAAGAGGCAAAGAAAACATGAAAACAGTCCCTACCCTGGAGGAGCTTCCATTCTAGAGTGGGAGACAGTGTGCACACAGTCAGTCTATACAAGAATCATTTGAGCTTTGTCATGGAGCTCAAGCCTCCTCCTAATCACTTGAGTTTAATAATGGCCATGTTCCATGAAGCCTTTCCTGATCCTCTGAGTTGCTAGGCAGTGCCCTGCCCTTCCCCTGGGGGACACTTATTTATAAGGGGCCAGTGTGGTGTAGTGAACAGAGAACTGGCTTTGGAGTCTCGAAGACCTGGGTTCAAGGCCCTTTCCTGACACTTACTGGCTGTGTGAATCTGGGCAAGTCAATTAACCTCTCAGTGTCCCAAGCACCTCGCTAAGCAGAGCAGGTACCAATCCGCCTTAGTAGAGGCAAGCATCTATACTGATAAAATCACAGATCCTAGAAAGAAACCAAAAATCATCTGTCCTCAAGAGGCTTTGTAAATGACTTGAAGGAAGGGAATGTGTCATTTTTGACTTTGTAGCCCCAGTGCCTAGAGAATGGAAGAGAAGGGAAGGGGAGGGGAGGGAAATAGAGAGGAGAGAGAAAAGGGGGAATAGGCGGAAGGAAGGAGGGGATAGACATTGATACAGTTCTTGCAGGATTCAAATTCAAATCTTCCTGATTCTGAGCCCACTGTACCAAAATGTCACTCAGTTTGCATCCAAGGCTCAGGGCTGTCAGGGATCTTCTTAGCTTATAACTGTTGTTTGTTCCTTGTTTTCCCCAGGGAAGGAGTCACCTGAACCATGAGAAGGAGATGTTTGCTCAGGATCATGCAGAAGTGAATACCCTGGAGGAGGTAGTCCGGCAGGTGAAACCCACAGCCCTCATAGGTGTGTGAAAAGCACCTTCCAATCAGGGACCTGTTTGAGCCACAGACAAGGGGAGGGAATTAGAACACAAGGGACAGGAAGGAGGTTGGCAGTGTCTCGGAGGTGTTAAGGAATGGAGGAGATAAGTTTGCCTAAGCAGGATGGGGCCAAGTTAATGCAGGCCTTGATTTGAATGTCTCTAAGCAAGTACTGAACTCATCTAATCAAATTCATTGGCTCCATATTGCCTAGCATGTTCTGTGGTAAAGAACACTGGTTTTAGAGTCCAAAGACCTGTGTTCATGTCCCAGCTCCAACACTGACACTTAATTTCTTTATTTAAAAATACCATTTTATTTTTCCAACTACTTGTAAAGACGATTTTTAACATTCATTTTAAAAAAAATTTTGAGTTCCAAATCTTCTCCTTCCCTCCCTCTCATCCCTCCTCCTTATGATGGTGAGCAACTTACATGGATTATATATGTGCAATCATGCAAAACATAGTTCAATATTAGTCATGTTGTAAGAGAAGAAACAGGCCAAAAGAAAAAAAAACACAAAAAAATACAGAAAGTGAAAAAGAGTATGCTTCCATCTACATTCAGACTCCATCAGGTCTTTCGCTGGATGTGGATAGCATTTTTCATCATGGGTCCTTTGGAACTGAGTGACACTGAATCTCTAAAAAGATTTTTTGAAACTTATAACAGCAGAGATAACCTAATTCAGAGGCCTCATGATCATAAATATCAGGTGAGGCATAAAACAGGGAGGTACATGCTCCCCAAGGGCTGATGCTCTCACCATTGTTAGGGACAGATCTGATGCACGGACCAAATCGGAAAGGTGAAGTCCTCCAGATGCTGCTTCTACAGATTACATCAGGCCTATTGCATCACCTCCAGAAGACTGTAGGGCATCATGCACCCCTTTGGCAGTCAGTCTGGTGAAATCTATGGAGCTCTTCTCAGAATCATATTTTTAAATGCAAAAACTAAAATATGTAAGATTAAAAAGGAAAACAATTATATTGAAACACACCTATCAAAATATTGAAAAAAAAAAGTTCACAAACCCTATGTAAAAACCCCTGTTCTCCTGGGAATTATCCATAACTACTCAAAAGACTTTGGCCAGACCATCCTCACAAAACAAAAAACAAACAAACAAAACAAAACAAAAAACAAGAAGATGAAGAATGGCTATTGTCCAGATTAGCATCAGTTGTATAGACAACCTATAGAGATCATCATGTGAGCTATAAAATTTAGTAAATATCATTTTCCTGATTTTGCAGATGAAAAAAAAAGTAATGTGTCGGAGCCAGATTTGAACCCAAGCCACTTGGCTCCCCATCCCAGCATTCTTTCCAGTGCACCACAACCTCTTCTCTTTTCCTCATGGATAAAACCAACCCAATATTTATTGAGTTCCTACTCTGTGCTGAATCCCTCATGAGGCAATATGGGGGCAGCCCAGAATCCCTGAAGCAGCTGCAGCCTAACGCCTTTCCTGATTCCCCAAGGGTTCATTCTCCTTCCTCCTCAAATCATCATGCATCTGTTTTTGTGTTTCCATCTTACGTTCTACCCACACCCCCCACATAAAATAGAAGCTTCTTTAGAACAAACTTTCCATCAATGAACACTTATTAAGCACCTACTATGTACTATATAAAGCATTAGAGGCTAGGGCGATAGGACCTCACCATGGTACACTTACTGCACTTACATGAATGCTGGACTAGAATCAGAGGAGCTAGGTTCAAATACCACTTCTTTCTTATACTGCCTAAGCAGTTAAGTGGTGCAGTGGACAAAGTGCTGAATCTGGATTCGAATACTACCTCAGATACTTACTAGCTATGTGGCCCTGAGGAAGTCATTTAACCTCTGTTTGACTCAGTTTCCTTATCTGTAAAATGGGGGTAATAATAACATCTACCTTCTAGGGTTGTTGTGAGGAACAAATAATTGTAGAGTGCTTAGCAGAGTGCCTGGCACATAGCAAGCACTATATAACGGTTAATTATTATTTCAATCCTTAGAGGCATATGGGTATTCAGGGGAGACTAGTACCTCTGGTGTGAGGGCTGCTTTCCACCTTTGGTGTTCAACAGGTCACCTAGCTCTCACCTGTGACTCCAAGAAGTTTAGCGTATGCAACAGCCAAACCCCAGTAAACCATTTCAACAGATGGGCCAAGCCAGGTTGAGGGTAACTGAGGGGTCTTAGACCCATTGGTGAGTGAGGGGGTGTCAATCCCAAGCATGTGAAGACTTCCCGTGGCAAAATGGGTGGATGAGAACAATTTGTTCCAATGGCCATGAAGATGGCTGAAGCAGGCACCGTGGAGCGTTCATAGCTTGGTTAGACATTGAAGATGCCAAGGTCATCCACTGCATCTCAAGCCATCACCAGTTACTTTGACTTTTGTCCTGCCACTTGACTCTGGTGACTCTGGAAGAAAGAGTGAGGCCAACAATTTTACACAACCTCTGTCTCACTTAAATCCATTTTATGCACAAGTCAAAAGACCTCACCCATGCAATTTTGCCGTTTTTAGCCACCTCAAAGTCATGGGGCGATGGGCAAGTGATGAAGCAGCAGGTGTGGCTACACTGGAAGCAGTCCTCACAGCCCTGCACCTGCACATAGGAGGCCCAGACCACAGGGTCATCTTCTTACTGGACTGAAGCAGCCATAGGCTTCAGCAGCCCCCTGGGTGTCTGAGAAGCCTTTTATAAGGACTGCAGTGCTCACCTTCTGGTATGAGGAAGGGGCCAGAAAAAGTGCCCTAAAAATTGTCTGCTTTGCCCAACCTAACCTTGGCCTGCTTGCTGTGGCAGGTGGGAATCCCACCCTGCAGTTGAAACACACAAAAAGCACAAACATTTTGCAAAGATGATTTCACTCACCATTGGTACGTGGAATGTGTGCATTCTTATGGACATAAGAAATCTAGCAGACCTGAAAGATGAACAGCTCTTGTGAGAGAACTCAGCAGACATCACATCCAAATAGCAGCCCTGAGTGAAACAAGCTGGCAAACGAAGGCTAACTTAACAAAGTTGAAGCTGGATACACATTTTTCTGGAGTGACCACAGTGCAGGGGAGTGATATGAATCAGCCATAGATTTTGCAATCAAAACTAATTTAGTCAACAAATCTGAATGCCTCTCAAAGGAAAGATCATTGCAAAATTCGGTTGCCCAAAGAAGTTCATCTGTGTTGTGCACCAGTTCCATGACAGCATGCTTGCCCGGATTCTAGATAACGGACAATGCTCTCATGCTTTCCCAGTCACCAATGGAGTGAAACAAGACTACGTGCTTGTTCCCATGCTTTTTAACATGATGTTTTCAGCAGTGTTGTCAAAGGCCTTCAACAAGGACAAAAACAGAATCAAGGCCAGCTACAAGCGAAGACTAAAAGTGGAGAGAGAGTTGGCATGTCATGTTTTGTTTGCACTCAGTGCAGCCTCTGAGGCTGAGATGCAACAGAGTGTGGATCAATTCTCCGCTACTTGTGCTAATTTTGGCCCAATAATTAACACCCAAACAACAGAGATTCTCCACCAGCCCATGCCATACTATCGGTATGTGAACCCATTGATTAGAGCAAATGGAGAGATTTTGAAAGCTGTGGATAAGTTCACTTACCTTGGCAGTATATTTTCCAGGGATATACCCATGCGTGTGTTGCCAGAGATAGTTCAGTGTTTGGGAAGTTCTGAAGGAAAGTACAGGAAACAAGAGTGATGTATTAGACTGCCTACCAAACTGAAAGTCTACAGAGCCATTTTGCTGACCTCATTGTTGTTATGCCTGTGAAACCTGGCCAGTATACCAGCGCCATGATAGGAAACTGAATCAATTCTTTGTGGATTGTCTTAGAAAGATTCTGAAGATCAACTGGCAAGATAAGGTACCAGACACTGAGGTCCTTTCTCAAGATCAGCTACCAAGCATTCAGACTCTACTATAGGGAGCACAACGCTGATGGGCTGGCCACATTGTTCAAATGCAAAACATATGTTTACCTAAAAGACTATTTTATGAAGGTCTCACACAAGGTAAGCATTCACACAGAGAGCAGAAGAAGCAATACAGAACACTCTCAAGGTCTCCTTTAAAGATCTTTGGAATTGATTGTGTGACATGGGAGACACTGTCACAGGACCGTCCAGCATGGAGTGCCCATATCAATGAAGGTGCTGTGCTTTATGAGCAAAGCAGAATTGCAATAGCTCAAAAGAAACATGAGATATGCAAATTTAGAGACATCTGTACTTCAAATGTTCATATGGACTGTTTGCACCATTCCTGTGTTTAGAACCTTTTGAGCTCGATCAGCTACTGTCAGACCCACTATACCTTGACCCTGCATAGTGGTCTCATTTTGGTCCTCTTCAAGAGCAAAGGACAACAATCAGCCATAATTTTTTAAATGGAGATGTTAATAGCATCTATTTCCCAAAGTTGTTGTAAGGATCAACTGAGTGACATGTAAAATACTTTGCAAACTGTAAAGTACTATATAAATAATATTAAGAGTAGTTAATATTAGCTATCGTTATTATTAATTTTTAAATGGTATAATAATACCACTTATTTGTCAAAGTTATTATGAAGATTAAATTAATTATTATGTGTAAATTGCTTTGCAAACCATAAAGCATTTTGCAGATTATATTATTAATGCTATTATTGGTAATCTTTTAAATGGGGATCATAATAGCACCTATTTTCCAAAGTTGTGAGGATTAAATGAGATAGCATATGCAAAACACTTTATAAGCCATAAAATGCTATATAAAAATATTAATATAAGATAATATTAGGTATTATTATTGTTATTAATCTTTTAAATGGGGATAATATTAGCACCCATTTCCCAAAGTTTTTGTAAGGATCAAGTGAGTAAATCACTTTGCAAATCTTAAAGCACTATGTAAAATATATTATTATTACTATTACTATTATTTCTTACCTATATGATCCTAGGCAATTCACTTAATTTTTCTAGGCTTCCGTATCTTGCCTGTAAAACGAGGGGATTGGACTGGCAGGCTTCTGAGATCTCTCCCAACTCTAAATACAATCCTGGGACTACTTTTGTTTTTCACTTTGAAACTCCAGCACCTTGCTCATGGGAGACACTTAATTAGATTAGATTGGTTTTAACCAGAGGATTAAGTGCCTTGCCCAGAATCACGCAGTCAGTTTGCAAACCCAGCGCTCCTTGGATGAGGCGATGCTCCCTCTGCTGAGAGTGGCACAGCGAGTGGCACAACTCTCTTCTCTTGGGCAGGGGTGGCAGCTGTTGCAGGAGCTTTCACTGACCAGATTCTGAAGGATATGGCCTCTTTCAACAAACGACCGATCATCTTTGCCTTAAGCAATCCCACAAGCAAAGCAGAGTGTACCGCTGAGAAATGCTACGGGCTAACAGAGGTAAGCACCCAGGAGGCTCACAGTCTCCCTTCCACTGAACAAGGGACAGACCCTTCAGGGTCCCAGGCAGAGCCAGCCCAAAATCAATGCCCCAGACACTGCCTTCCATGAACTCATCCCTCCCCCCGGGACCAACCCAATCACAGACACAGCAAGATGCCTTTTGAGGGCTTATGGTGGGGGTTTAGAGGTCAGGGACAGTAGTGTTATGCCAGAAGAAAACGTGCAGCAAGGGAGGTGAAGAAGCATAGAGATAAACCTTGTGCAGGTCACAAGCACTGCACTCCAAGTTTGGGGATCCCTGAGGAATCTCTCCCCCAGCCCTACATTGGCCACCTCACCCCCGCAGGGCTCTCTCCTTGCAGGGCCTAGAGAAAAGGACAGTCAGTCAGTCAACAAGCATTTACTAAGTGATTATTATGTGCCTGGCCCTGTACTAAGTTCTTGGGATACAAAGGAAGGGAAAATTCATTCCCTGCCTCAAGGGGCTCACTCTCCCATAGGGAAGACAACATGCAGATAACATTCTATTTGTGAGATATATACAATGTCAGTGGAAGGGAATCTCACTAGCAGTGGGGGACTGAGAACAAAAAGTCCCTTACAGAAAGCAGGATTTGAGATGAGTCTTGAAGGAAGTCAGAGGTGAGGAGGGAGAGTCTTCCAGGATACAGGGGACAACCAGTACAAATAAATTAATGGAGTGACTTGGGTGAGGAAAAGTAAGGACACCAGTATGACTGTGTTGTAGAACACATAGAAAAACTGGAAAGATGGGAAGGGAATGGATTGTTCAGGGCTTGAAAGCCAGAGGACTTTATGTTGGATGCTGGAAGTAATAGGGAACCATTGGAGTTTAGATTGGGGATGCAAGAGAGACAGTTGACATAGTCAGGGCTACACTTTGGACAAGTCACTTTGTCAGATGAATGGGAGATGGATTGGAGTGGGGAGAAACTTGAGGCAGACAGCTATTACAGTAATCCAAGTGAGAGATATTTAGAAGTTGTGTCAGAATAGTATTTTGTTCTGGTCCCCCTGATCACTCTCACCCCCAAGTCTAGTCAGTATAGTAAGTTTATAAGTAGCCAGTGTAAAGTGGAAATAGCAGTATGATTGCAAAGGGGAACCTCGAAGTCACGTGTAGACTGTCCCAAAGATCAAAGTAGTATAATTTGCAAACTGTATCATGCATTAACCAAAACTCACATCCTGGTGGTAGGTGCTGAATCAAGGGAAGCCCTCTAGACTTTGCTGTCAGAGCCTATTAATCCTGTGATACATAAATCTCAGATAAGTTCTGGCCACAGTAAGACCAGCAGAACGCCAAATGGTTTAGATAACTTTGAGATGGTTGCATATGTTAACTTTAAAGTTTTTCCCAACAACCTTGAGGTGATTTGGACGTGTTAATAAAGGTACCCCAAGGTAGCACAAGATAAGAGTCTGTTCCCAAAAGAGACCTTGAATTCTTGCCCCCCTGAACCCCCTTCCCTCTTCCATCTCCTTCATGTTCATGCTGCCCAGGGCTCCCAACTCTCATCCATTGTTATGTGAGTGATTCTATGTGCCTTTCTCCCTCCCCATCCTCTTTCCCATCACTGCCTGACTTGCTTCACCTCCCTATCCCTCTGTACTGCTTTTCACCGTTTGTCTCTGAACTTTCCGTATCTGTTTACTCCTCTGCTCTCTGTGCCTTATCAAAGTGTGATCTCAGCCTCACTTCCCACTGCCATCATGGTCTTTCCCAGCAAGTACCCAAAGAACCGGGCATGCCTGCCCATCTACCTCATACTAATTAACTAGCAACTCAGAGCCTGTACCAGTGGGGTGACTATGTGAGGAAGAAGAAGAAAGGGGTGTATGTGTGTGTGTGTGTGTGTGTATACATATATACATAGAAAGACAGACAGACAGAGACAGAGAGACCATGAAAGTAAAAATAATAGGATTTGACAACAGATTAGATATGTGAGGTAGGTGATTGAAACTGAAGAGATGAGGATGACAGTGAGGTAGTGAGCTTGGGTGCCTGGGAGAATGGTGATCTCCTCAACAATAACAGGAATGTTAAGAAGAGGAGAGGGCTTGAGAAGTTCACTATTGGGACTTGATGAACTTAAGATGCCCTTAGGACATTCAATTCAAGATGTTCAAAGACCAGTTGGTGATAATAATCTCTTAAAGAGGAGACATTAGGACAAGGAACATGGATATGGGAATCTGCATGAAGAAGAACCCAATGAGATCCAGTAAAATAGTATAGAGAGAAAAGAGCCAGGGACAGAGCCTTAGGGGATACTCATGGCTAGTGGATGTGACCTAGATGAAGATCCAGCATTGGGGAGGAGGTGTTAGACAGACAGAACCATCACACAAACCTAAAGAAGTCAGATTATTCAGGAGAAGAATGTTATAGACAGTGTCAAAGGCAAAAGAGAAGTCCAGAAAAATGAAGACTGAGAAAAGGCTATTAGATCTCGCAAACTAAGAGGTACTGGTTCCTTTAGAGAGAGCAGTCCTAACTGATTGAGGAGGCCAGAAGCCAGACTACAGAGGGTTTAGGAGTGAGTGAGAGAAGAGGAAGTAGAGGCACAGATTATAGGTAACTTTCTCGAGTTTAGCTGAGAAGGGAAAGAGAAATTTTGGATAACAAATTAGTGGAGGTAGTAGGACCAAGTGAGTGGGTTTTTTTAGGATGGGGGAGAAATGGGCATGTTTTTAGGCAAAAGGGAAGGAATAAGTAGATGGAGACAGATTAAAGGTTAGAGAGAGAATGAGAGTGATAGTGGGAACAATCTGCTACAGAAGATAGCAGGGAGACGTGCAGTGGATAGAGCACCAGCCTTGGAGTCCGGAGGACCTGAGGACCTGAGTTCAAATCCAGCCTCAGACATTTGACACTTACTAGCTGTGTGACCCTGGGTGAGTCACTTAACCCCAATTGCCTCACCAAAAAAAAAGAAGAAGAAAAAGAAGACAGCAGAGACAGCAACAAGGAGAAGGGACTGGACCATCATGTTGAAGGAGCTGGACTTGGGATTTCATTGACAGAGGGACTTTCCTCAACAGGGAACTCCCTCTACCAATGCAAGTTTGTAGCTTTTGTACAACTTAGAGCTTTCGAGAGTGGACTAGAGCACTGAGAGGTTAAGTGACTTGGTTTCCACGTCCAGTATGTGTCAGAGGTGGAAGGGACATGAACCCAGGTCATCTTGGCTCAGAGACCAGCTCTGTATCTATTATGGTATAAGAACCAACACATATAACCGCTGTTGAGGAAAGACTCACTGCAGAGGCAGGTAGGTGCTTCATTCAAATGCCAGAAGCCCTCCTCTGTTCTTAAGATTAGCATTAATTTGTTCTTATAGCACTAGTCTTTACAGATATCCTTGGAGTCCAACATAAAAGCCCTCCCCTCCCCCTCAGTAGAATACACACAGACACCCAGAGCCCTTGGCTTCCTCTCCCTCCTGACATTCTTGTCTTATGATCATCCGTGTATGGACTCTATCATCCTCCTAGAGTTTGTGTAGGTCAGGGACTGGGCCTTTCTTAGCTTTGCATGTCCCCAATGCCTTGCACATAATTAGTGCAGACAAAGAGTATCTGTCCAATTCAATCCACCTATGTTTTGGGTACTGACGATGATGCAAAAATAAGTGAAATCAATTAACCAGTGAATTAGTAAACATTTGTGAAGTGCCTACTATGTACTGGCAATGTGTGCCCCATGCTAGAGATGGGACAAAGGAAGAAACAGTCCCTACTCATGAGGAACAGGAGCTAAGGTAGTGGCTGTGTGAATAGTGAGAAAAGGACCAGATAGGAGAGATGTTGTAGAGGTAAAATTAGCAGGATCTAGTAAGCGATTGGAGGCAGCTAGGTGGCTCAGTGGATAGAGCCCTGGGCCTAAAGTCAAGAAGACCTGGATTCAAATCGGACTCAGACACTTACTGTGTGACCCTGGGCAAGTCACTTAATCTCTGTTTGTCTTAATCCACTGGAAAAGGCAATGGCAAATCACACCAGTATCTTTGCCAAGAAAACCCCATGGCAGTGTAGTCTATGGGGTCACAAAGAGTCAGACATAACCGAACAACTAAACAACAACATACGTGATTGGCTGTGTGGGAGTAAGGGGGAAGGAGGGGTCACGAACGGCACTCAGGTGGCAAATCTGGGAGATTGGGAGGATGGCATGACTCTCCAGAGAAAAAGTGAAGAACAGTGGATTTGGGCAGAAAATGATGGTGAGAATGGAAGCTTCTACAGGTCAGGGTTTTGCCTGGTACACAGTAGGCACTTAATAAAAATCGATTGATTTGATCGGTCTTTCCACCCCCAGTACCTAACATAGGGGCTGGCATATAACGGCCATGGTCAGTTCAGATGAGGCAGAGCATTTAACCTAACTAGTGTTTATGAGCAGCCTCCCATGGGCCCTCCCTGCTCCGAGCTCCCTAAGGGCTCAGACTACGATTGATGCTCCTGTGTATCCGAGTATTCATCCAGCCAACATTTACTTGTATTTCTGCATAGTTAATCATTCATTAACCAACATCACTGAGCATTGGCTCTGGGTGAGACACCAGCTAGGCACCGGTGGGGGACACAGAAGCTCCCGCAAGTCACAGGCACGTCAGAGGGAGGAGACGTGCACACGTGAAGTCAAGTCATGCCAGCAGGATGCGGTGAGTTGTGAGTCCAGGCTCACAGGCTTACTCCCGCTCTGGGCTAGCTGCTCCACACACAGAGATTTCTTCTCCTTGGCCGCAGATTTCCTACCAGCCTTTTCCCAATGCATGTTCTTGGTCAGAGAAATGACCAGAAGAGAGAATTTGTGGAGTTAGGCAATAAATCCACCACCATGGTCAGAAAAAAAAAGAACGAAAACACTCCAACACGTGCCCTTCCTCTCGCACAGGGCCGGGGGATCTTTGCCAGCGGGAGTCCATTTGACAAAGTAACCCTGGAAGACGGCAGGACCTTTTTCCCTGGGCAAGGAAACAACGCGTACGTGTTCCCTGGAGTGGCGCTGGGCGTCATCGCCTGCGGGGTCCGGCACATCCCCGACGAGATCTTCCTCCTCACGGCTGAGGTGCGGTACGCTCCCTCACCCACGCTCTGCGCCTGTCGTGTCAGCATTTCTAGGAAAAGCGTAGTCCAGATCATTTCTCACATATTCAGAAAGGGATCAAGTCTGTATTTGGAGCTTGGTATAAAAAATAACAGGGTATATTCAGAGGAGAGATTAAGGGCAGCTGGCCCTGGAGTCAGGATGACCTCAATTCCAATTCAACCTCAATCCCTTCCTAGCCATGTGACCCTGGGTGAGTCACTTAAGCTCTGCCCACCTCCCTTTCCTCATCTATAAAATGTGGATAACAATAGCAGCCACCTCCCAGGGTCATTGGGGGGAACAAATGAGATCACACTTTCAAAGTGCTTAGCATGGTGCCTGGTACATAGTAGGTGCCTAATAAATGCTTATTCTCTTCAAATGATATTAATAATAACTAGCATTTGTATAATGCTTTAATGTTTGTAAAGCACTTTACACATAATATCTCATCTTATCTTCACAACAACTCTGAATAGTAGAGTATTATTCCCATTTTATTGATGAGAAAACTGAGGCAGACCGAGATGAAGTGACTTGGCTAGAGCCACACAGCTAGTAAGTATGTGAGGCCAGATGTGGACTCAGGTCTTTCTGACTCCGGGTCCAATGCCACATAGCTGCCTCTGATAATATATGAAGAGTGGTTTGCCAATCTCAAAGCAACGTATGGTTCAGTGGTTAGAGCCAAGAAGCTACAAGTTCATATTCTGCCTCAGACGCTCACTCGCTGTGTGACCTAGGGTAAGTCATTCTACCCTTGCCTGCCTCTGTTTCCTCATCTGTAAAATGGGGATCATAAGAGTACCTACCTCTCAGGATCATAGTGAGGATCAAACAAGATATTTGTAAAGTGCTTTGGAAACCTTAAAGCGCCATTTAAATGCTGGCTGTTATTATATGGATTTAGGTTCATAGACATCATAAATCTAGAGTTGGAAGGAGCCTCAGGGATCTTCTAGGCCAACTCCATCATTTTACAAGTGAGGAAACTGAGGCCCAGAGAAGCTAAAGGGGGTTGCCCATAGTAGTAAGCTTCAGAGGTGGGATTTGAATCCAGGGCCTCTGACTTCAGAGCCAGTGTTCTTTCCACCTTATCACACTGCCTCCTTACAGATCCCAGCTCTGTCACCTGTTACCTGGGTGACCTTGAGCAAGTAAGTCACTTAACTTTCCCGAACCTTAGATCCTTGTCTGTAAAATGGACTAGATGGCCTTAAGGTACCTTTCACCTCTAAGACCACGATCCTCCCTAGGAAAGAGAGTTTGTGTTTCTTTTCTTTTTTGTTTTTTATCCATCTCCCCATCTTGAGGCCTAGCTTCCCAACCAGGCACTTACCTCCAGCAGACAGCACAAGAGAGGTGGGATGCCCTTGGAGGCAGTGTGATGTCAGTGAGCAGAAGGGCTCAAGGGCATACTAGCAGTAAGTACAGACCAAGGACTCCAACCCAGTTGCTCTGGCTCCAAATTCCCTGCCTTCCCTCTTGCTTCTCCTTTATAAAGCACTTTACTAACAAAAGCCCATACTCGGCAATTCACTTGTGGAGGTGGAATTCCAACCCAGGTCTTGAGATTTTCTACTACATCCTCACTGCCTATTTATAATGGGAAGACCCCTGGATCAGGAATCAGAAGAAATGAGTTCAAGTCTTTCCCTCTGGCATGTACCATCAGGGAGACCTTGAGTAAGTCATTTCCCTTCTCTTTCCCTCAGTTTCTTGATTTGTAGAATGCAGATAGCTATGTTCTCACTACTCATCTCACAGACATGCTCCAGGAATCAGACTAAATGATTTTTGTGAAAGTACTTAGTGACTGTAAAACTTGAGCCTAAGGCTGCTGTTACCACACTCTTTTGTCTTGGCCCCTCCCTTCCCCTTTCCCATCTCCTGACACAACGGTTCTCGGAAGGATCTGGTGACTTTTCCCAGAAGCTTAAATTTGACACCAGAGTACAGAGAGAGACATTGGTTGGTTTCCCAGTCACGAGAATGAGGCTGAGCTGAAAGACTGGCTGACCACCAGTCTCAGTAATTAGCAGGCATGGAGGTTGAGGTTAGGGGTAGGGAGGATTGGAGTTGGGGTCTCAGAGAGAAGGGAGCACAAAGGCTGGGCCTTGGGCCAAGCCACCTACTGTAAGGCACATAGAGATGGGCAGCCCTGGGCCCTGGTTCTGAGGGCTGCTCCCTGAGCCCCCAGCAATTCTCCTGTCATTTCTGTCTTCCTTATGCTGCCTGAGTCTGCTCCATCCCCCAAAGCCTGGCTGAAAAGCTTCATTCCAGTGACTGTCCTGGGGAAGAGAGTTCTGCGGGTTTGGTTGTTCATTCAGCTCTGCTCTTTTTCCCAGCACATTGCTCAGGAAGTCTCTGATGAGCATCTCGCCCAAGGGCGGCTCTATCCACCACTCAGCACCATCCGGGATGTGTCCCTGAGAATTGCAGTCAAGGTAAGAGCTGGCCTGGGTCAAGGGCTGATTGGTGATAGAACCCCAAGGACCCAACAAGGAGTGTGCAAACTTCCGAAGAGTCTGGGTGGCTCTTGCAAGATCCAGGTGTCAGAGGATCAATTCATTCAATGCAACAAATATTTATGAAGCCCTACGGATTATGAAGCCAGGCTTTGTGCTAGGCAATGGGGATCCAAAGATAAAAACAATCAAACCATTCCCACCCTGCAAGAGCTTGCATTCTACTTGAGGAAAACAACATGTTCCTAGAAAATTAAATAGAAAATATAAATAAAGTAATTTCTAGGGGGAGGACAGCAGGAACGGCTGGGATTGGGATAGGCTCTTTGTAGTAGATAGCATTGGAGCTGAGCTTTGAAAGAAGTTAGTCATGTCCACTTCTGTTGGGTCCCATTCCTTCTCCAAGACTCTTCAGGCTTGCTTTATTATTGTTATTATTATTATTATTATTATTATTATTATTGAAACAAGTGCCTGGTGAATGGTCTTTAGATGACTGCCTCCCCATTTCAAACTTGTTCTTTCCATCCCAGGTCCTCGACTATGCTTACAAACACAGCCTGGCCTCATGGTACCCAGAGCCTGAGGACAAGGAGGCCTTTGTGAGGTCTCTGGTCTACACTCCAGAATATGACTCATTTGTGCTGGACAGCTACACATGGCCCAAGGAAGCAGCAGGAGTACAGGAGATCTGAGGCCATCTCGTTGGTTCATATTAGCAAGTTTGGGTCCCCTCTCCCCCAGTGAGTGAAACTATATTCAGGTTTGGAACAATGACAATATAAATAATCCCCAAAATGGTTATTCTTGTACTTGTGGTTCTTTTTTTTTTTTTAGTTAAAGCTCTTGTATAGAGAGCACCACGCGGGCAGCTAGGTGGCTCAATGGATAGAGTGCTGGCCCTGAAGTCAGGAAGATTCATCTTCCTCAGTTCAACTCTGGCCTCAGAAACTTCCTACCTGTGTGACCCTGGGCAAGTCACTTACCCCTGTTTGCCTCAGCTTTTTTTCATCTGTAAAACAAGCTGGAGGAAGAAATGGCAAACCACTCCAGTATCTTTGCCAAGAAAACTCCAAATGGGATCCCAAAGAGTCAGACGTGGCTGAGACAATTAAACAGTAACAGGAAGCGTACCAAGCAGGGAGCGTGCCGTGAAGACTTGCTGGAGCTTGTATGATGGAGAGTGGTGCTCTTGAAGGCCCAGGAAAGCCAGCACTCTCACCTGTTGTGTAGATCTCCCCTTGGCTCTTTCCCAGGTCCTAGCATGCCCTTCAGAGAAGCACTTCCCTTTTAGAAAATGACATGGACACATTTCCAATAAGAGGAACTGGATGATGAGCAGGTTGGGGTTGGGAGGAGGTCAAAACCAAAGGATTCTATCCAGAGTAGACAGCAGTGTACCCCCTCATATTGAGAAAAACCTTCCTCCCATAAATACTTCCCAATACTTCCCTACAAGTCCTGTTAGTTCATAATTAACATGAGAGGATGGACCTAGAATACCCCACTGTCACGTACCAGTTTTAGAATATATTTGAGTTCATCCTCTATTCAAAGCTGTTTGCTATGAGCCTCCATTATCCTCTGAACCTCTACCTTTTCTCCAACCAACCAGAATTAACCACATGACATCATGGCCAGTTAACAAGTACTTATTAAGTTTCTACTATGTTGGGGATACAAACAAAAGTAAAAATAGTTGTTCCCCTGGAGAAGCTCATATTCCAGTGTGGGAGACAACATACATATAAACAGCTGTGTGCTAACAAGATGTATGCAGGGGGAATTGGGGTAACCTCAGAGGAAAAGCACTAGCATTAAGAGAGACCAGGAAAGGCTTCTTGCAAAGGATGGAATTTGGCCAAGACCTGAAAGAAGCCCAGAAGTGGATGGAAGTGAGGTAGGAGAGCATTTTGGGAATGAGAGACAGCCTGTGAAAATGCCTGGAGCTAGAGTGTCTTGTGTGACAAGCAGCAAGGAAGCCAATGTCACTGAATTGAAGAATATGTGGAGAGAACTAAAGATTACAGAGGTAGGAAGGGGGCTAGGCCAGGGTCTGAAGAGCTTTAGAAGCCAATCAGAGGAATTCATATTTGATTCTGGAGGTAATAGGAAGCCACTGGAGTTTAAGTAGGGGGAGTGACAGGGTCAGACCTGTGTTTTAGGAAGGTAACTGAAAGCTGACTGGAGGATGAACTGGAATGGGAAGAGGTTTGAGGCAGGGAGACCAATCAGTAGAACACTTTACTTGGCATTATCCTCAGGATTTCCCTGTCTTTCACCCCCCCCTACACACACACACACACACACACACACACACACACACACACACACACACACACACACACACACATATCCAGTCAGTTGCCAAATCTTGGCTAATGCCAAACCAAGACATGAGGCGATGAGGATCTACGCCAGATGGGTGGCAGTGTCAAAAGAGAGAAAGGGGCAAATATGAGAGATACCGTGAAGGTAGAACAGACAGAATGTGGCAAGAGATTGGAAATAATAATAATAATAATAATAATAATAATAATAATAAAAAATAAATAGCATTATATGGGGCCTATTATGTGTCAGACACTGTTGTCGTTCAGTCATTTCAGTCCTCTCCAACTCTTCATGACCCCATTTGAGGTTTTCTTGGCAAAGATACTGAATCCCTTTGCCATTTTCTTCTCCAGCTCATCTTGCAGATGAGGAAATGAGGCAAACAGGGTTAAATGACTTTCCAGGTTCACACAGCTAGTAAGTGTCTGAGGCCAGATCTGAACTCATGAAGATGATTCTTCCTGATTCCAAGCTTTACCCAATTGCACAACCTAGCTGCCCCTAGACACTGTGCTAAGTGCTTTACAAATATTATCTCATTTGATCCTCATAACAATCCTGGAAAGTAGGAGCTATTATTATTCCCATTTTTCAGATGAGGGAACTAAGGCTGATGAGGTTAAGCAACTTGCCCACAGTCATGCAGCTAATACATTTCTGAGGCTGAATTTCAGGTCTTCCTAAACGTAGGTCCAGGGCTTTATCCATTCAACCACCTAGATACCACTAAATTAAATTTTAATGATTAATTAACTTTATTTTAGCAATATAATTATTAGCAGCAGATACCCAATCAACCTATTTCTCAAGACTACTTCTCTTAGCCCCAGCAAGGTTCTAGTCAGGTACATGCTAATAAATGTTAATAACCAACTCTCTAGAAAGAAAAATACACAAGACATATTTCAAATTTCATCTGCATTTTTAGTACTTTCTCCATCATTTTTGTAAGGCTAGAGAATAAATTTTAAAAACCAATAAATCAAGCCCTGATCTGTAGTACTTGCTGATTTGTGAGGTCTGAATGCTCACACTGAAATGTTAACAGCTGGTTTTTGAAGCTGATTCTCGTGACTCTGGGTCACTTCCTGGTTCTAGCCTCCTGTCCCTGCTGACTCGCTGGCAGGATGTTAGCGTAGTGTCCACTGCAAAAGCTTTGGGGGCTCTGGGTTTCTCAGATAGGAGCTAGATAATAATAAATCACAGGCCATCATCTCATTGTCATCCACGAAGTATGAAGAGAGTCATGGAAACCAAACCTCATCTCTAGCACATATCTCATAGGCTTTGCAAAATGTGGCGCGTAACAGCTTATATTCAGTACTCTCTGGTCATATGCAGAAACATAGTGCTTAACATCCACATGAAAGAGACATGCAGTAAACCAAGACCTAGGATATATATATAACCCATAACATCTCGTTACAATTTTATCCAAAGTACATGTGTACTTTGTGTAATCTATGACTGCCTGTGTACCAATGGACACAGGCATTGTGAATTCCAATAACCCAACCACTATTGTTGTTGTTCAGTTGTTTTCAGTCATGTCTGACTCTTTCTGACCCCATTTAGGGTTTTCTTGGCAAAGATACTGGAGTGCCTTGCCATTTGCTTCTCCAGCTCATTTTACAGATGAGGAAACTGAGGCAAACAAGGTTAAGTGACTTGCCCAGGGTCACACAGCTAATAAGTGTCTGAGCCAGGGAGTGATATGTTTCAGCCCTGCAAAAATCACTTATCAGTTATGTGGAAGACGGATGGGAGAGGGCAAAAATTTGAGGCAGGGAGACTGTGTAAGAGTCTTTTGCTATAATCTGGGTAAGAGGTGTTGAGGGCAGAGGCTATGTGAGCAGAGAGGAGAGAACTGAGGTGGGAGATATCATGAATGTAGAAAGAGCAAGATTTGGCAACTGATTGGATGTATGAGGAAGAAAAGGAAAAGTTGAGAATGATGCCAGGGTTAAGAATGTGGGTGCCTGGGAAGATCCTGGTGCCCTCGCTAAAAGAGAAAGGTTTGGAAGAGGGGGATGGGTTTGGGGAGAAAGATAATGAACTCTCTTTTGGACATGTTGAGCTGATTGCTGGCTGCTCAGTCCAACACTTCTATAAACATCTGGGTGTCACCAGGCCTATTCACCCACAGCACCCAAGCTAACGGATGGCCTCTGTTTCCTAGAGGCAGGTCAGTAGCACAATGGATAGAGAGTCTAAACATGAAGTCTGAGACACCTGAGTTTGAAACCTGACTCAGACACTAACTGTGTGACCCTGGACAAGTCACTTGATGACTTCCAGCTTCAGTCTCCTCATCTATAAAACGGGAACAATAGTAGAACCTACCTCCTAGGGCTGTTGTAAATATCAAATGAGATAACGTGTAAGGTACTTTGTAAACCTTAGAGTGCCATTTAAATGTTAGCTATTATAGAATATTACACAAGAAAAATTCAGTCTCTGGATTTGGCCCAGCCCACCCTATCCTCCCATCATAGTTGGTCCTGATTTCTTGACTCTAAGAAGGGTTGTTGTTTTTCAGTCATTTTTCAGTTGTGTCTGACTCTTCATGACCCCATTTGAGGTTTTCTTGGCAAAGATACTAGAATGGTTTGCCATTTCCTTCTCTAGCTGATTTTACAGATGAGGAAATTAAGGCAAACAGGGTGAAGTGACTTGCCCAGGGTCCCACAGATAACAACAACCTGCAATCTTCTCTTCATACAAATCATAATCCCATCCCCTTTCATAAGGGTCATTATATACCTAATTGACAGGACTTTGGAGCCCAGTTATCTCCATTTCTCCATCTCTTTTGTCCTTCTGATTATCAGGGACCCTGGCCAGCACTTCTCTGGATGGTGGGTAACTGCAAAGCATTGTCTTGCAGGGCTCCAACTGTCCTCCTGAGTTGTTTTATATACTAGTGGAGTGACCAATCTTTTAACTATTTGGCATGGTAGGTGTCTCCTTGCCAATCTGCAATCCCTAGATACTAAAGTTGCTTCGTAGGACTTTATTCCTTGGAAATAGTTCTTGACATTGTAGTTAAGCATCACTTGGTCTTTTCTCAGTTTTACTGAGCTAAATTCCTAGCTAGGGTAGCCCTCCTTCGACTGATCTCACCTATTAGACATTCTGGTTATGAGCTTCTACATCTCTCTCTTCTAAGACACCAAAGCACAAATTAGTAGGTAAATGTGGCTCTCACTCAAACATCAGAAGGCATGTGGTATCACTCCTGGCATCATTATATGCATGCCTTAGAAATGCCATGTAGAAGGATCCATTGAACCTTCTACTCATTTCTTAAGATCGCTAGTATGTTGGGAGTGTGCAATTAAAATGTTCGTGCTGCTAGTCTAGTGGAGGATGCTAATCAGTATTTCGAGACTTCCTGATTGCTGCCAAAACTAAGACTTTCTTGTCTAGCTTGCTCATAAAGCCTCAAGTTTAATTCTGCCATAGGAATG